CGCCCCGGAGAACTTGGCTGAAGTAGGTGAACTTGAAACCGAGAACCTTCGTAGGGGTTGGTGGGACTTCTCGCAAGGGCAGTTGTGTTATTATGCGCACGTGCCAGGGTCACCTCGCTAAGGGAGAGTTCAAGGTCGTTCAATCTCAAGGGATGCTACCTACCCCCTCGTCCTACGATAAATCCAACGCTCCGAACCTCGGAGCCCTCTTTCTGCGTTTCTCCTATACCAACCCTTAAAAAAAAAGAAGATACCCCTATACCAACCACGGGTAAATATTCACCCTTGCTCAAACCCAAATCCATTCCGTTCTGCTTAATTTACCTGATTCTACCCCTACGCAGTCGCTTGTATTGTGTCAAGACAGCCTCCGGGATATCAACGGTTACGCCGTACTAGCCGAATCTGCGTCCGTCCGAGCTTTTATCTCCGACAGGATTTCTATTCTAATTCCCTGCCGGAGGTAATTGCCAATTAAATCTCGAATTAGCTCGGGGGTCAAAGGTCATACCTGGATTCGACTCTTAACGCTCGAAATCGTTAACGTGTCGTTCTGCTATTGCAATTAATACTTGGAAACAAGTGGGATACCGGGAGTCACTGCCACTAACAATATACTGCATTCCTATACGAGGTACTTTGTATACAAAAGCCATGTGTGTAAAATGCAAGGCCGCGCAGAACAATGAGACACTAAATACCCCCGTTGCCACTTACGTGCGTCGTGTGCGTTCGCCGCGTGGCTCGTGTGGGTGAATTAAAGTTATACGTATACGCACTTGCTTTGCCGCCACGAGACATTCTTATAAATACGTATCACTTTTATACGTGTTTTTCTTTTTATTTACACGCTTTTGCATTGTCTCTCCGGTGCCGCGCGGTACTGCGTTACCTTGTGCCTGAGAAAGAAGACAAATATTTTTCATGCACTTGCCAGTACGCGGTGTTATTGTAGGAGTGTTTTAAAAAATATATATATTTTTTTTCTTTTCATTTACAGGTAAATTCAACGATAAAATTTTGCATTGACATACTTGTTTAATGCAACAGGGAATCACTTTACTGATCTTACGTGCGTTTATCGATTTCGAATTTCCCGGGCATTCGTCACAGTTATCCTTCGTCTATGTAAAACGTGGCGAGTCGGTTTCACACGTGAAATTCGAAAAAACGAAAATTCGCAGAAACATTATCACCGACCAGGAATTGTTGTACTTTGTCGAAAAATAAAATTCCGAAATATGCGTTATGGATACTGCGTATTAATGGTTTTCCCGAATACTTACACCAGTGACTAATTAGTGTATTAATAGATTTAGGCGAGCTTGTTATCAATTATAACTAGACGCGTGCGACGCTCTTGAGATATATTATTTTCCCGGATGCCAGAATTACCGGAAGCGTATCCTGCGAATTTTAAGCACACTCGTTCCTTCTGTCCTTTCGTCGTCATCTAAGAAGTCATCGGGTTTCGTACGGAATATAAATCTACATGTAAGTCCCCGTATTATATATATATATATATATATATATATATATATAATAATTGTAAATGATATTTTCAAGGTGCCCGAAATAGGAGGAAAAATATACTAGATATATTTTTTCTCGAGGGTTCCGTCCTTCCTGTGGACGGGACACTCGCCTGGATGATTCACCAGGTTCCAGGAATCCCTATAAGTTATTCGATAAGTCCCAGACAACCTCTGACGGCTTTGAAGCGCGTCAACAATTTGCCAATCCAGAACGAATAAACTCGGTACTGATTGGAAATTCCAGTGGTTCGGCTACACGTGTTAATATTATCTGGGTTTTTTTTTCTCCGTCATGACAGTCTCTAGAGATGCATCGAAAGCCAGAAAAAAGCTTCGCACTAAATTGCCGTGTGTATTGTGCACTAAAAACTTGTATGCGATGCCGCAAACGTAGGCTTTCACCATTTAGCCAGATACTTGGCAACGTAAATCAATTCCTGATCTCTGGCATTGTCGTTCCAATAATGAAAAGTACACGAGTGGCCAATGGTAGGTTGAATACGAGTCATTGTTTTCTTCGGTACAGGACGACGTGGACGTTCAAGGGGTATATTAATTTATTCGATGATAACTGCCGGTGACCTTGGCCTTGTGCGTCACGACGCTCGTGACTGACAGCGTTCGGATTATTCTCGATGACTCACGAGGAATCGTTACTTTATAGTCAGTCGAGTCTCTCGTCGTTAGATGACCGTACATGACTTTCCTCGTGATACGAATAAACCGGGTAAAGGATGGAATGGAAATTAGGAGTTAAAAAATGTACGTTTTTTGCGCGGAAAAAAAAAGAATTTGCAAAAATTTAGGAATATGAGAAATAATAATTATGGTTAATGAAAATTTTTTTTTTTCATAAAAATAATTTTTTCGTACAGTGTGCTCTTAATGGTATTGTCCGCCGGTTGGTTTATTCAATTTTCTTTTTCTATTTATATCGTGCATGTCTTTTGACTTGTCATTAACCTTCGCTGATCCGATGATATTCGCGGAACAAGTACGTGCTCGTAATTAGCGGAGTGTCGTGCGTGACCAAGTCGCCTATGTAACGCCGGTGCGTAAACGCGGCGAAGGCCGTACGGTAGAAATATTTATAAAATATGAAATGGTCACCTCGACACACATATACGCGAAACAAAGGGTCCGATACAGTTTGCGATTCGCGACGTTTAAATGTTACGATAATTACGCGAGGTCGCGATAACCTATGCGCACGGTATTGCCTATGAGATTTCTTTGTGACAGTGGACATTTAATCCTATGTATAAATGTACGTATGAGTAACGATCGGCCATCACGCGTGAATACGCGTGTACAATTGAAATTGTTTTTTGAAAAGATAACGAACGTCATAATACCACGAAACGAGAGAATACTGGAAGTATGATAAATAACAGTTGATAAGGATTTTAATAAATTTTCGACTATCCCATTTTTATGGGATTTCAGCGCATAGACTCTGTAAGCAATAACGTTTCCGTAGTGTAGTGGTTATCACGTGTGCTTCACACGCACAAGGTCCCCGGTTCGATCCCGGGCGGAAACAATTTTTTTTCTTCTATAAATCGATATTACACCAATAGCACTAATCAGTGATATACCAATCGAGTTTCCGTAGTGTAGTGGTTATCAATAAATTTTCGACTATCCCATTTTTATGGGATTTCAGCGCATAGACTCTGTAAGCAATAACGTTTCCGTAGTGTAGTGGTTATCACGTGTGCTTCACACGCACAAGGTCCCCGGTTCGATCCCGGGCGGAAACAATTTTTTTTCTTCTATAAATCGATATTACACCAATAGCACTAATCAGTGATATACCAATCGATATTATTGATTTCCCTGATACCGTCACAGACAATATTTATTCTCGGTCCATTTAATCCACAGCGTCATTTAAATTTCGATAATTAAAAATCTCACAATGCATGCCATAAATATACCCAGGCATATATGCACACGTACCGTATATCCATATCAAACTCCTTTATCTCTTAGCCTCTGCGAGCGGTGCGTGCGAGTGCGTTGCCCCACGCACGCACGAATAACAAAGCCAAGATAACGCATTTTTCAAAGCTCCTATCAGCCGCCGATTAGTTCCGTCATTAAGAAGCAAGCGATCATCCAGCCCTCCGCTAACGTCCCGAAGAACAGTCCCACGAGATTCCCCAGGACGAAGTAACGAGAACGAGCAAAAAGAGAAGGTTAACCAAGAAATTGAAAAACCCATGTAAATCCCAGTATCACTTGCCGCCAATAAAGCCTGTTATTCAAGGTTATCAAAAAGGGTTGCAAGGGCCAACGTAAGATATTTTTATTAGCCGTCTGCAGTCTGGACGCGCGTCAGGCCGTTAACCCCCGAGCGTCCGCCGGCTCGATCCACCCTCCCTTGCCATTCTTTTGTCGTGCGCGTTCATGCCTCCTTGCGATTGGTTGAAAATGACGTAGGGCATAAAGAAATGGCTAAGCAAACACAGTGCGTAATAGATATCGGCGCGAGGAAGTCTTAAAGATGGTCGAACGGTGGCAGTAATGGGATTTGGCATCTGAAGCAAGAATAGCAGGTGACGAGGAGATCAGAACGACGCGTGCAGTACATAAGCAACGTCCAGCATCAGTAACAGGAGCAATAGCGTCTCTCTAATCTTATTCCAGAAATAATATCAAAGCCAAGTGGCATTGTGCTCGTATCTCGGTATTACTGTATACACGTCTCCTCTCCCTCTTAAGCACGCCATCTCTTACCGTCTCGTCACCCTCTTAAAACCTTCTTTCCTCTCCTCCCGCTCCCCTCGCCCCTCCCCCCTTCTTCCCCTCCTCTTCTTCATCCTCGTCTTCTTCCTTTTCTTCTCCCGTGCATCTACGAGCAGTCGAGAGCAGACGATTGGTCGCGTGGGTGAACGTTTTACTTGCCGTTTCTGAAGTGGTGGTGGTGGTGGTGGTGGTGGTGGTGGGCTCCCAGGGAATCCGTGTGGACGACGTAGGTACGGAACGACGAACAGGGATGCACCGACCTTGGAGGGATTTTTGCGTCTACCGCTGGTACGTTCACCCCGCAGTCAGAAGCGTGGCGCTGGCTACTAGCGTGCCTTATCTACGTGTTACTTCGTTTCTCTTGGGTACCCCTCTTCTTGATCATCCTCCGCGTCTTCCTCTCTTGGCTTCCTTTATTTACTCTCTTCGTCCTCCCCTCTCCTCCTCCGCCTCCTCCCACCCTTCCTTTACATTGGTATTTTCACAGCCTCTCCTCGGACCCCCTCTACGTGTATACACATACAGCCATGCTAGCTGCTCCCTTGCTTCGGAGTCTGACAATCCTGACCGAGGCCAGGATCACGCTCTCATCCCCTGGATCTTGAAGACTCAGGGGCGCATGGCTTGGCTGTGCTGTTTCAGTATATTCGGGGGCTATCAAAAATAATATGATTGGTAGAAAAACAATTATTTACAAAATTTTGGAATTGTATGCCGTATCGAGGAAATTTTGTATTTTATTTTTTTATGGTTAAACATTTTTTTTTTATTTTTAACCTCACCTGCCCGTTTCGGGTGTCACTGGGTATGCGTCCCTGAAGACAATGCGGCCGACAGATTAGTATTCGCACAGACAAAATTGGTCGTGCCTAATAATGCGTGTTCGAGTGCTGCTGGACGAAGGAGTCTTCGAGATCGTGAACTCAAGGGCAGATATTTCCTGAGGTTACTCGGTGTAAAGGCGCTTTACAAATGGCTACTTGAAATGCGCTTATAGGGACTTTAGTCCCTGTGTCCATGGCTGATAGGTATATGTGTCTGTAATTGAGTACTGAATGTTTTCATGCGTATTTGCTAATCAGTCTGTAACATAGTGGTTGAAATATGCTTATATGTAAATTCTGTAGAAATAATAAATGTATACGTGTATGAGTATATTTTCATTAGATTCGCAATCAAGAGAGACACGCTCTCTGTACGAGTATTTCTAGGTGGACGCGTGTAAAGTATCCTTGTGGAAAATATTCTAAAATATAACAAGTACCCGTACACTGGTTTTCCATAGGCAATCAATATAGGAACACGCATTCGGTATAAAATATAGCTTATACGGAATTCATGGTAGAAGGTATTAATGGGCAGACACTGTATCTTTCCATAAGTAATAATCAAGAAGGCCGTGAACTCGTGTCCAATAAACGATATGCTTGTACTTGGATTTGCTATTAATATAACCGAGCAGCGGGTCGCTGTCGGCATTTTTGCCTTGATAAACATTCCAGCTTGACATCCGTCGTTATTTTCTCTTTTTTCTTTTCTTCTGTCGTTATCGACCTGCGAGCTTAACCCTAAGTTGGCCAAAAATTTTTATTATCATAATGAAAAAAAAAAAGAGAACCAACTCCCGTTAAGTTTTTCAGTATTAATCTACACATATTTAATTGTTGATTAATGAGAAATTTCTTACGCAACGTCTGCTTGATACAAAAATAATTATTATACATGAAAATAATTCGTATCTTCTCATGTGTAATATTCACGTGTGTTCGTTTATTATACTTGAACTGTAATACAGTCTCGGATCGTATTAAATTGAAACTTCAATGGCATTGAGAAGCCCGAGGTCAATGGTTGACCTCTTTGACTCGTAGACGCGTGTCTACTAATTAAATGTATTTAATGAAGATAAGGAACTAATTTAGATATCTTGAATTTCTATGTGAAATTATTCTTATCGAGGAAATTTGTTATTAGAATTTTTGTAGCTTTCAACCGATGTCTATTTTGAGGCCATTCAAAATTGACGAAATCTGGATGAGATGTATATCAATATGGTTCATTGGCTTCAGATCGGATTCTGGATTATCTAGTGCGAAGGTTACACTGGATGGAATATCATATTATTTCTAGCAGATGGAATAATAAAGACTCGCTGTGGGATATAGTGGTGAGATTTCACGACCTCGAAGGGCGCGGCTGAGTTCAGTTTCAGACTAGACTGAAGTTGCCCTTGTGTCTAACCGACCTTGAGACAGCTTGGTCTGCCCTACCCTGGCCTTCATCTCATCCTCGTGCCAGTCCACACATTGGCACATCCTTTTACCACAAAGAGCTAGGAAGACTTCTTTGATATGTGAAGATCCTGTTGGAATTTTCAAATGCATTTAGAATTCCATCGATAAGCAAATTGCTTGACCGCTGCGACACCTGGTGGCCCGACGGGAACTTCTCCGGCTAGCACAATATGCATTAGCATGGTGGACCTATTCGTCTTTCTGACTTCTATCGATTCGTCGTAGCGATTTACCCTATAATAGCGCTTAATGCTCTTATCAGATATTGTATAAGAAATCTCTATTCTTTTATTGACGCAAGATGTCTCTTTGTATCTCTTTTCTTTTGCTACGGTTGGAAACAGACAATTACTCGAGTAAACGTTGTTCAACGTACCATTTTTCTTGTTCTTGTTATTTGCAGTTGTTCAATTTCTTTTTTTTTGTCCGGTAGACAATTTAGAGAAAAAAGCTTTGTTTCCGCCCGGGATCGAACCGGGGACCTTGTGCGTGTGAAGCACACGTGATAACCACTACACTACGGAAACGTTAGTTGTTGAATTTTGTTTTTTATTAATAAAGTGACGGTCGATCAATCTTCTATGTTTCCGCCCGGGATCGAACCGGCGTACCATTTTTCTTGTTCTTGTTATTTGCAGTTGTTCAATTTCTTTTTTTTTGTCCGGTAGACAATTTAGAGAAAAAAGCTTTGTTTCCGCCCGGGATCGAACCGGGGACCTTGTGCGTGTGAAGCACACGTGATAACCACTACACTACGGAAACGTTAGTTGTTGAATTTTGTTTTTTATTAATAAAGTGACGGTCGATCAATCTTCTAAATTATATTTATCATAATTAACGGCAGTAAATTGTTAAAAATTTTGTCAATTGCCAGTGAAATGTTTTCGCGTGACGTATTGGCTTACGAAATATCATGATGGGAAGTGGCCCAAAGAAATGTCCTTTTTGCGGAATATCCGGGCGGATGTACTTTCTCGCGGTCTGTGGCCCATCGACGGAAGCCCTTGCGAAATTTTGCCATCCGTATCCTCCGCCTTCTTTCCTGCCGGTATCTCTCGGTTACATCGGACTACACAGCCCTTACGTAAATGACGTTATCTAAATACGTTCCCAGCAATCCTTACCCGCTTGCCAATCCAGGGACAGAGTATGGAGCCGGAAAATTTGCGGCTTGTAAGAAATTTACGTAACGCGAGAAGCGAGAGAAATGTGCCACGAGAGCGGCAGTACTTTCCCTCGTGATGTATAAACAGCCTATACAAACCTGGGTCTGTAGGAAAGACAAAGAAAGTCTCGGTAAAAGTAAACTGGATTACAAAAGAAGATTGTCTGGCGATACGCTGTAAAATTTGAAACGGTAATTTGTTTTTGTTTCCCTCGACAAAAATGAAGCTATAAAATTTTTCAATTGATATCAGGCGGAATTGCTTATAAAAAATTCTCATTTCAATTACAAACGTATAACTCAGCTTTTAAGCGCCCGATGAAATCTGCCTTCTGATTTAGAACACTTCTTTAGCTGTGTTTTTATCGTCGGCCGCACTTATACCCGTGGCGCTGCGTCACGTTCTCACGAAGTAAGAAACGGCTCGAGCTAAGGAAAGTCGCGATCCCAGTAAGTAGTTCATGCGCGAGAGGTTACAAAACTCTCGAGTCAGACGGAGTTGCATTGCGCGACCGAGTTGCAACGTCTCACCGTCTCTCGAAGCCGACGTGGGAAGTGAAAGAGAGGTAGTAGCTAAACTTTTACTTTTGCAATGGAGAAAGTGGAGGCTTACACTGCGATTTATACCGTCGATGCGATATACAAATAATTCGTGTCATTTTCGAAGCGGAGGATGATAAAAATCGAGAGCGTCGCCTTTGGAACAACGAAGATCAACGAAAAACCTGCTAGTTACGAGAAACGATAAATAATCGAAAAATAAAAATCGATAACCATAATCGATCAAAATATTAGATGAATTTCACGTAGGATATCAATGGCATATAATGTCAAAGTAAAATTTTTTTTTTCAACAGAGACATTACGTACTCGTTTCTCGATCGAGTCGATTTTATTGACGTATGTATTATGTCGTATATGCATTGACTTTTCCCCCTTACGTATTTCTATACGTAAATCTTGAAAGCCGACAGGTTTTGGTAATCGCAGGAAAAACATGCAATTCTCCGGCGTTCGTTTCATTTCCTGGTTAGAGCAATGATCCCGCGGGTCATTAGCCGTGGGGTTTACTATTACGTTTATACTTGAGTTCGCGGTGAACAAATTAGCCCATAGCACACGTTCGCCCGAGTAATTGCAATTGAGCACTAGAAAATTAAGACCGTAAACGAACACGAAGAAATCGTCATCAAAGGAGTTCATAAAATTTTCCGTATTAAATAAGAATGAATTATAAAAACTTTTTTTTTTATGACGTCGATGACTCACGAATTTTGCCATAAAAATGAAAAGCGAACGAAGAAAAAGATTGGCACGACCCAATTATTCGGCACAGCGCAATGGAAAGTAGAACGAATAGAACTTTCGGTTTCACTATCTTTCACTCGGTAACCTCCATTCCGTTCACCGGTTTACTTCGCCATAGAGCATACAGGGATAACTTGGTCGGGACTCGGAGTGACTGGCTACTTTCGATATAGAATGAGGAAAGATTTTCGAGGCGGGATCCGAGGTGCGCCTATAATCTACGTGCATTTAGAAACTAGATTTAAAATTGAAATCCCGATTAGTTAATTTTAATGCCGTAGAATCCGACAAAGTAATAACTGGATTTATTATCTGATTTTACAGAGAGTCACTTGCCGCCGACGGACTCGAAGCCTCGCGAGGGGACTCTGCCTCTACGATCTAGTTGATCGAATCGAGGCGTGGGTGACCCGGTGACCTCACCGGCAAAGAGAGAGTACCAGAGTGGCAGCCGGTGAAACTCCTGGGAGCCAACCTCATCTTCATCCTAGGAAGAGAATGGATCGCTCCTCTGCTTAGGTCCATTTCTATTAAGTATTTCGAGGGCAACTAGAGAGTCTCGACCTATGGAATTTCCAAGCACGACTCGTCGTTATCGTCATTCGATTTCCTTTGCCGACCTCGATCAGCGGGAATCGGTTAAACGAAACCAGTAAACGTGAAAGAGGCTCTGTATGTACGTGGGAACAAAAAATAAAGTCGTGACGTGTATTCATGAAAATTTCAAAAAAATATAATTATAAATTAATTTTATTTTATATATATATATATATGTATATGGATGTAAAAGGAATGATTCGACACGACACCAAATCATTCTTATCATTAGAATTTTTATATCAAGAGCCAAATCTTTCCAAGACGCGTGATAAAGATTCGACCTGGTCTCATGCAAAATTGATAACAACTGTAATACATACACCGTAAGCTCGTATGCGTTTATAAGACTGGTTACAGCCTTGAAGATTCTCGACGCGTGATAATTCATCGAATCAGACTCACGCGTCGCCGATTAACCTGGAATTAACGAAGACGTCTCAGGTGCGTTTTAATTTAAATTTTTCGATAACATTGCTCTCGATAGTAACGGGTACCGAATTCATCGACGCAGATCATAAAGGTGCATAAAAACGCCAGTACAAATTTTCCATTTGATCTCTGTGCCTGGAAACTGTTACGTTCGTTTCGGCATGCTAGCTAAATCAATTTATATAAGTACACTCAAAGCAGTTAAGCCTAATCGTTTATAACCCATTAGCTAGATATAATTTTTTAAACGCACGATTACCCTGAATCACATAAAAATCCATTCCGATTGAAATAATACGTCAGTTTCGATCATATCTATGTATACCAGTCAAAGTTAGCACTTATATACAGTTATACACACACCACAGGGCTAATTGATTTTTATTAAGTCTCTTCGTAGGTGTCTGTGCACGTAATAGGCCAAGGGTCAAAAGACTGTAATAGTAAATGCAAGAAAAGAATTTCCAAGAGATTTCTTCTATAGTTTAACCATAGAGACGGTTTCGAAAGACGGTTGGATCGAATTGCGACATCCCGCTAGGAACGACAAGCCCGAAAAACCTGAAGTGCATTCTCATAGTACCAGCAGCGCCGCCACCCGTGCCTAGGCTGAACGAGAGAGTCGGAACTAGCAGTCGCAACCTACATATTCTTTCGGCGCTTGCATAACCTACAAGCACGAGGGCAACGGACTCACGGAAGCCAACCGTTGAACTGAGTGAACCAATCGAGCCAACGAAACGAACAGCGTCTAATCGGTCGAACTGCCGTGCATAGAGGAACTTGTGAAAGCGTGAGAGCACGTGTCGCCCCCTGTGCGACGCTTTGTATTGACTTCAAAGATTTCACGGTAACACGTGTCGAGTTCATTTTGTCTTCCTCTGTCAAAATTCATGGGGCACGTGCTGCGTATAACCTATGTTTACGAATTACGCGTAAATTTCGTTCCTATGCGTCGAGACCTACGAGAGAATATCTGTGAAGAAGAATTGAGGTTATGGACTCGCCGGGATAAGAATAGATAGTCAATGAGACTTGAACGTTTTTATAGGGAATATTTATAAGAGTTTTTGGTTAATTGTAAATTTTCAACGATTTTTAGTCACGGTTTATAAAGTGCAGTGTTCGTTAGAAAATAATTAAATCGTATGTCGAATAGCGGAGCGGAAACGGTCGAGCGTAACTATACGTCATTGGACCCATATTTGAGTGGTACGAAAGAGCGGGAATATTTGAACTCGTTTGGGAATTATTTATCGATCGATACCAGTTGCTGACACTTTTGTATCCGAATGGGGATACGTTCTTATTTCGAACGAGAATAACCACTCTCACTGTCCAGCCTTGAGTGTACGACCCGCTTACCGGAGAAAGTAAAGAAATTACTTCTGCCATACGGCTTTCGTTATGCTTCGGGTGTCGACTTTCCATCTCTTCGATATCAGTAAAGGAGAGTAACGATTCCGAGAAAACTGGAACGAATGTACGACAATGAGTCAGGGAAATACTGGTCCAGACAAATTGATGCTGCGTATAGCTATATACATCGGAGAAACGTGTAGATGAAATTTGGCTTGATTCCTAATTCTTGAATTATATTAAATCTACGTTCATTCTCTTGGTACAGTAAATTTTGATGAAAAAAAAAAAACTGTCTTCTACGCGAATCGAGGTGGACTTCTGGTAATGGTCCAATTTCACGGATCACAATATTCGAGTTCAACGGCACCATTCTCTAGTGACGCGTATAGGAAAAAGAAGCAAGAGCGAATTCGTCCCTGTAGAAAAATCCGCCCACGCCGTACTTTTTTGAAATTCATGCTGCCTGCGTCTTCGCAAACAGGACAATCAAGTTAGTGAGTTTACAGTGCTTGAATTTCGCGGGACACGTTCCCGTCTACAGTATATGTTAACTCATGTCCAGTTCTAATGTCTGGTTTACGGTTGTGTATTTTAAAAATTTTTTTTTAATATTTTTTTTCAGTCCTGGTGTCACTATAAAAATACGCAGAAAAAAAGAAACCAACTCCGGATCGCTGCCGCAGATATGAGTCGGCTGGTAGCAGTCGAATGCAGGAACGGTGGCTGCAGCTGTGAACGGAACAAGAGAGGCGAAAACAAGAAAACAAGAAAGCAAACAGCTCGAACAATGAATTCCAAGTTTATCCTCGTATTATTACCAGCTCGAACGGAGAGACGAAAAGTTTTTTGAAGGGCAGGCGTAGGCGGCTCAACGGTTCGGTTCTTTGGCGTATACGTAGCATATCCATAGACACGTGTGTGTACTGTCTTTCGTGTTTGGCTGCTCGTGGCGCTATGTAAAAATGTCAATGGCATCTAAAAATACAAAAGCCACGAGTTTCCAGTCGCTGGAATCGGGCAACGGGAAATTAACATGTATCGACTATAAATTTACATAAAGAGTACACAAGTGATAAGATGAACTCAGACCATTGTTATTGTACGGAGCAGCATTGCCAGAGAGTCTCTATGAAACTCAATCGAGATCTCTTCATTGATAATAAATTTGCGATAAGCGATATTTTCAATCAATCAATAATTAGTTTCAATTTATTATAGATATTCAATTCCGTCAGATTCTGTTGGCTCATTGCGATTGCCTTTATCGGTATTGATATAGAGTCGACGAAAAAGGAAATTGTAAAGGTACGCAAGTGAGCGAACACGTGGTGCGGGTCGATCTAATTTGCACTATATGTAATCGATAAGCTATCGCAACTTCCTCGAATCTATGCGAATGCCCCTCGAGGCTGAAACCACGGCGTAGCTTACGTCACAAGATTTAATACCAATTAGGCACACGATAACGTATTTTCAGTATTTTCAGTGGACTAATATTTATTAATATAACTCGACAAGTATTTAATTTTAAATTCTACCATGTACTTTTCTCTTGTTTCATTCATGTCGAAGTCCCCTTGTATCCTTTTCAAATGAAATTTCAGTGCTTCGTATAAGTTTTGTGGAAAAAGTTTTCATACACTGAGTATATAAAAAATGTAACGATAACTCAATGTCCCTTTTTTTAGCTTTTACCTTGATTTCATAATTTAAACGAACTCGATTGATCTTTGCACAATCACCGGCTTGGATCGAGATATCATCGGGTCACGTGATACGGATTAAATGTGAAAGGGTCCAAAAAATATCTCATACAAAAATCCTTCACCCAAGACACCTCCCACGCGCACTCTCATATACTGCGCGTTTTGAGAGACTCGCGGTAGTAAAAAAAAATATCGACTGTGACAATCTAATCCTTCATTCTTTTTTTTTTGGGCTTTTCCCACTGCCTGTCCTTGACTTTGTCAACCTAATTTTAGTATTTCTATTTCCGAGGCGCGTTTCATTCTTTTCTTAAAATTCACTATGTCGCCTTCGTACCGCCTTCGCGCGAAAATATTGAAAATTTTTATAAGACTAAAAATCTTTGATGCCGTTTAATAATTTTTTTTTTTTTTTTTCGATTTACATGGCCAAATAAAGCAAATCGCTTGGTTAACCTTGTGCCAATAGCAAGACCGATCTTTTAAAATTCATTGAAATTACTTAATCCTTAGCAGATTATATCATATACATATTTATACACTTGTGATAACTGACTGCGTGCCGATTATCTTTTAGTTACGATCTATCGATCGTAATAAATGGGAAGATAATGAAAATTCGCAAAGTAATCGATCCCGTGATCACGAGTGTATCGAGGTACTGTAGCAAAATTACGTAACATTAAATCGAATGAATATTAAGGTTTTATCGATAATAATAAAGCAATGACGATCAGCCTAAAGAAGAGATGGTTATAAATCGATTAAAAAATGTTTTAATATTTATTATAACGATAAAAATACTAACCCACGCTACGTATCTGTATAGTTTAGCAATTAGTTACGAATGAGTCTACAGTATTATGTATATTAAAATATATCCTGTACGTGATACGCGTAAAGGCTTTATCGACGAGCACGTGGCAGAGCAACCAGGCAAAGGTATACGAAGAGCAAAGGACGGAGTACAGGCTCGGAGATTTCCTCGCACGAGTCCATAATCCAGAAGCGTTGCTAGAGTAACTGATGGATGTGGAGATGGTCTGGTGGTGGTGGTCGTGGGTCTGATACTATACTGCGGACGTATGGTGGAAGTGCGACGGGGACGTCGAATTACGTAACGCGACGTCAGGTGATCCCGAATATCCCGACAAGGTCGCCCGCCGAAAAATAAGCGACCACCAATTATATATAGACCGACGAACCCAACATCCAACGGGCCAGCACACCAGCGAAGCCATCCTCGTGTCTCGGATCGAGCCGCGTGTATCGGAACACGAAACGGCCCACAAGGTCGATCGGATCGTCGATCTTCGCAAGGACACGAGGAAGGCACTCGGGATACTGGAAACGTCAATTTAGCAATTTGGCGAGAGGGAGAAAGATACGGAAGAGAGGCAACGTAGGACAGATGAAAAATTATGGAAAAACTGTGTGAAATTATTTTGCAAATTTTTTTTAAAGAAAAAATTAATTTTTATTTACACGAACGGGATATCCCGTGGCTAAGACTGACTTTTATATTGAAAACAAAGGATTCTGGGTACTAGCGCTTTGTTTACTCTTACTTTTTTTTTGGTCTCGTTCCGGGAAAATAACGTGACGTTTTGTAATAGACTTTGACGTAACGATGGTATACATGTGGAGATTTGCGTCACGCGATCGTTTCCTTTCGGTTCACGTGTGATGGCCACAAGTATATGATTGACCGATGAGCAGATATGTAGGCTTTCAAGGAGAATTTGTACACGTGTTAAAATTGTCCGTAGGTGTTCGTACGTTCGTTGTAACGAAACAATTAATATTCTGTTGTTCCGTAGCTTTAGGGTTGGTCTAATCTCACGTCACTTTTGCGATCGTCCATCATCGCTCCCTGTTTCTGGCTCGAGCTGGTATTGACTCATCAGCATGAAAGAAAAAATGATACAGGTCTTTCCAAGGTAACCGAATACTTCGATGTTGAGAAATAAAAAAATTTTTTTACCAAATGAGTAAATACGTTATTGTTCATAGTTTTTTTTAACAATAACATCCATTTCGTACTACCTGCTCCATCCCGAACAACAACCACCTACCGAATCTTCTTTGTACGACAGGAACAAAAAGCAGTGGTAAAAAAAAGAGACAAGGAGGCAGAACATCAATCCTGAATAAAGTTCCGTCATCCCAGCTGTATAATCGGAAATACGAGTCCACCTTTCCAGCCCGACGAGTCGTCCGTCGTCCTTGATTCACGGAGACAACACCGACGTCGCTGTAGTCGCCGTCAGTCGACGTCTACGCAAAGGATTGCATAATGTTACTCGAGCCAGCTTGTTTTGTCCGGTGAGATTTCTGCGCAGCGCTTCTTAACAAAACTGTAGCTGTCTTCACGGAATACCTTTCAGTCGGCCGAAGCGTGCAGATACAATGGACTTTTGTCTAGGTTCACGTAATACCATTCTAATCCCTTATTATTGCATACCTTGTCCATTCTCACAATAACCTCCGATATCCATAAACGTAACGTACGTATAGTTTCGTTCCGACAGTGCCACCCGGTAGAAGTTTACGAGTGGCAAAGTGGCAAATTAATTTATGTGACCGTGCTTGCCGTAGGAAGGTTCCACGGCGGATCGGCGGCTGACGACTGCTGCCACGTCGTACAAGGACAAGGCCGCCTGGTCACGGGCGAACACCGGACAGACGTCGTATTGACTACTGGGCACGTTTTCTTCGATTCTCCTTCGCCATCCGGACGTTTGACCCCCGGAGTGACACCCGAGGATTATGCTTATGGAGAAATCCGTTGGAATTTGATGAATTTTAATTCAGTGACAAAAGACAAATTTTAGATCCTGCAGACTCGTTTACGATACGTATCGATTTCAATATTCAATCAGTTATCAATCGATAAGAGAATTACAAAACAAGATCTATTGTGGCAGGGCGATGTAGATTTTATAAATTTATTTATTCTTATTGAATTTGATTAGAGTAGTATATATGTACACATTGATATAACGTAGAGGTCGTCTTTAGTCACCATGACGTCCCATCGCATTTCGCTCACCATGGTAACCACTCTAACACGATGACGTCAATCGGTTCTGGGGTTCCTCCGTGTTTTATATCGTGACGTATATTATACATATTATTCTACATTACTTATTCCTAAGTCCGACAAATGTCTACCGTATAGATATTGTTTGTTCAACCATTATGTTTACTCGTACAATCGTTACCTCTCAGTCCCTCTCGTTCCTTCTCCGAAGCTACATCATTAAAACCCGTACTTATTATTCGCCGGCATCGAGAAACGTCGTGCGACCGCTAATCGCGCTTGGCGGAGGCTGACGCGACCGCGACCGAACGCCTCGTCCGATAGCGAGAGATTATTTTCAAGGACAAGGTCACGTGAGAATACACTTGAATCATAACGAGATCTCCGTCGCACGTTAAAGAATTCACATTCATGTTCGACCGGCACATAGTCGCCCATAAATTTTATACACAAGAATATACCTGGACAGCGACGAAATATCAATTTGAAAATAATTTCGTAGAAAATTG